AAAACATTTCAAACGTTGTTATTAATTCAATCAAAGTCGATTTGGTAGTTTTAGAAACTAACCAAAAAAAAATTTTAAAATAAAATTTTTTTTTAAATTATGCAAAGAGAAGAAGAACATTAATATACGCAAAGTAATTAATGTATTCGGCGCCAGATGGGCTTCTTCTATATTTTAACAATTCCCGTGTAAACTTTTGCTATGTTTTAATCCCATTAGCGACATTTCGCATTCTATGCGGATCGCATTTATCCGAGTTCGTAACGAAACGCTCACATTTACTATGGGCTTCGAGGATCATTATTAATTATACAAGAAAACGGCTCCGCTGTCGGCATGACAGTTGCCGATCTAGAATTTCATATTAATTAATACAACAGACGGCGCAGGATGCCCTCATGCGCGCTATTATTATTAATTTCAGTATGCGCGACTCGCTCGTCGCAAACTGTTTCCGCATTATAACTTCGTCCAATGTTGAATTCACGAGAGAAGTGTATATTATTTTGTGATGTACTTAAGCTATTACAAACTACTAATAATAATATACTATGTATTAAAATAAACGGATAATCATTATATTTTTTATAGAATATGATATGAATAACCAGAATAAAAATGTCAATTACGTCAAATTTTAAGATGAGCTAAACTATGTAGTATCGTTAACGAACTATTGAAAATAATACGGTAGAAATATTTTCACTGCATTTATTATTTGGTTCCATTTTATTTCATTTAAACAACATGAATATAGCATAATATTAATATGTACAAAAAATGTAATAATACGGTATTATTTGTTAATTATGATTAAACTTACTATTTTATAAATTAATTATTAAATTATTCTAAAAAGAAGCATTTCAAAGAGTAACAATCTTTCTCTATTTTGCATCTTCTGGTCATCCATTCTTCCTCTTATATTGCCAATGTGTCAAGCCGGTCGTGTTATAAATTTTAAGAAGCTTAATTCCGCGTAATTACCAAAGTTTCTAGGTTGCCTCGCGAACACGGGAATAACTGCGGGGCAAAAGAAAGAACGAGGAAGGAAGAGGAAGAAAGAATGAAGACGAAAAGGACCCTTCGAAACTTTTTAAGACCGAGCTCTTTAAAACATGCCGACAATTTTCGATCGGTCGTTATTTACTTTTACACGATCCCGGCAGCGCGAAGACTCACAAGAGGGTTAGAGGAAGACAAGCGGCCGCTACGAAATCGACGACATTTTGATTTATGAAGTGAAGATGGAAATCCCACACCGGGGACACAGGACCGAGGGTCGCGTCCCTCGGGACTCCCAGACGCCTTTATCCCGTCGCGGCGCCAATTTTTTCGATCTGCATCTCGATCATCATCGTGCACGTCACTCGCTCGTAAGAGAGCACTCGCGAGAGTGCTTCCTCATGAGATTTATGACGTCCCGCTGTGGAAAAATGGAGACTGAAAATGCGACGAAAAGAGAATCGATCGTTTCGAGTGACGCGAGTTTATATTTGGCTGTGTGAGATATGCCATTTTCGTCAAAATTAAGTCATTTGTCTAAATCTATTTTAATTTCATGTGGCAACGAAATAGAAATAGAAATTTAACAAGAAATTTAAAAATAATAGTTTATTAATTTAATTTGTACTTTATATTATTCAGAATACTGCGGTTTTTGCAATTTGACCGTAGCAACCTTTTAATTTTAATTGCGACTGTCACGTTTGTTGCAATTTTAATTTTATTAGGTCAAGTTCGCCACAACGTTGACCGCAATTCTTACCGCAGCTATTTCGCTACTGACGAGTGATCGAAGCTCCTCTGGCAAGGACTCTCGTCGTTGGCGGTGCGAGGGGTTGACGCGCTATTTCAGGAAGGCATAGTGATTACGCTTCGGTCGCCAATGAGAGCTTATCTCGGCGGCGGCTTTTAAAGAAGACGCCGCTGTGTACACGTATACCGTTAGTAACCACCGCCAACGGTCTTTTCATCCCCTTGACCCACCCGTGGGCTAAACTTACGCCAGGCTCGGTAAGTTATTACATCGTGAAAATAAGGGGAAAATTGGAAAGCGGTTTAACCGTGAAAACGGTGTCAATTACGGTGTCGACGATATCGCTCCGGGGAGGGAAATGGCGTTTCGCGGTCTGTACCCCCGCGTCAGGGAACGCTTTTAACGGCACCGACACAAAGGACGGATGCGTTTACGACAGAAAATTTCTCGGCGATAATTTTCTAACGATGCTGCCGGGTAAAATTGTAATTATCAGGCAGAGAAGGAGATAAGAGAAGAAATTAATTTATTGTGTTCTGGGGCGAGAACGACGGAATGCAATCTGATGAGACGTAACGAGGGAGTAATTCGTCACACCTTAGTTGGCGGAAATTTGTAACATTGCCTTTCAGAGGTGAGTGATAGCCGTCGTGGTGTGATGATAAAGTTTGAGAGATGGACGTGAATAGACGATGGAGGGTTTGTGCTTATCAAGTTAGTGCCGGAAAATTTCTGACTTTGCAATCTCGTTTCTTGGCTTTTCTTGCTTAAATACAGACGTGTGTCCGTGTATGTGTGTGCTTCCCTGTACAAAATTATTACAATATCCCTAACTCCCATCTTTAAATTTAGTTAAGTTATAGACTAACAAGAAAATTATTTTATAATTTCATTCGTTATTTCTCATTTTAATGTAATCACGTTGCTACGATCACGCAATTAATCCTGACATATTTCATTAAATTATCGAAAAGTGAATAATATAATTTCTCTACTTTGGATACACGAATATTATTGATAAAGTTCTCAATTTGCCAAATTTTATTGTACTTTATGTAATCACGACGACTATCAACAATGTACAATGGCGTCAAGCCGTAGCCATCTATTTCAGAGCCCGTAAAGCCATAACGGAGCGTGTTTACGTGGACTAATAAATTTCGGGAGTTACCGAAACTCCTTTCGAACTTTATGATAAAGCGTCGGTGTCACCTACCGGTGGGTGTACATGGAGTTCTTGCTGCCTCTACGAGGTCTTCGCGACTTCCAGGCGGCGCCTCCAGCATTGTCGCGCTGCCGGAAAATTTCTTTACGCACAGCAGGCTTAACGCTAAAAAAATACAAATAATATATATCAAATATTATTATTTAAATATCATTAATATATAATTAATATATTATTATATATATGATTTTTAATTTTAAATTAATTAAATCTAATTATAATTGTAAACAAGTGCAATGAACAAACATTTACTTTTTGTTGTAAGTCAGTGCAATATGAAAAAAAAAGTATTAAGTGCATCTGTTTATATTAACAATTTGTATTTATTTTTTCTTGTACAAGATAATTTTGTAATTAAATTTAAACAGATATATAATACTTTTTATTATATAATTCATAGTTTGTTATCTTATAAAATTGCAAAGTACGATCAGTTAAATTAAAATGACTTTGAATTAGGAATATTAATTGCGAAAAAGAGTAAGTGAACTTCCAAGAAAAAAATTCCTGATTAAATGACTTTGTCGGTATAACTGCAATATAATTAGGGCACGGAAATTGCTTAGCATTTTCAAGCAATGTAGTCCACTTGACATTCGATAGCACTTTCCAGGAAATTGGAGATACCACTATACATATTTATAGGCAGAATCCTTTGGGAATTTGGCAAGCTATCGGAGTAATACTCTAACTATCTCGGGATAAAAAGATCAAAAATGCCTGACTTGACTCATGCTCATGGGAGCATTAATGCTATTCAGTGTGCGCATATTCAACAGTTAAATTTCTTTTTAATATTTAAAAAGCGTATTTTTCATTTATTCAGTCAAGAATACAACTCAACTATTTTATGAAAAATATTTTGTGAAAAGAATCGATGAATCATAAACATTTTTAGTACATAACAATATGTTCCCGGTATAATGCTTTTAATCTTAATTAATTCTATAACCATATAATATTAAAATATTTTTATGCATATGATATTAAAAACAATGACTATGTCATTAAATAAAATATCGCTATTTATAATATATATTTTTTTAATAGATATATTTCTGATTTTTTTAATTTACTTATATATTTTTACGCTTACTAGATAATTAAGTATTTTACATTTTTTTTGTAAAAAAGTACAATTATATAAAGTTCTTCTGAAAATATTTCTTTTATCAATATAAAGCTTTAAAAATTATTCAAATCGGAATTTGCAGAAGTTTTTAGCAAGAGATATTCGTTGAAATATTTTTATCTGTTGAAACAAAAGTTTGAAAGAAGTGAAATTTATTAAAACTTGGAAATTAAAGTTTCGATGAACGGAATTATCGCCGCTCTTCTCATTCTTCATCCGTCATCTGGCTCACCATGTGATACATATGTGAAATTCAAATGCTTATATATATCGCAAGAATTCAGATCATACAAAATTTTATTTATTAGAGCCCATTTATGTTCATGCACTGCACTTTTTTGCATGTAATGGTCCTCCGATCGAAAATGCAATTCTTCCAATAAAAACTCAAATATAGTGCACGTTATTTGAAACTAGGTCAAAATGAGAATTGAGAAAGCATCATGGCAACCTAGCGGCACGATTTATAGAATGATACAATATAATATTGTTAAATATTACTAATACTAGACAGAATGATCTGTTTTCATCAAAAATGAAAACTATGTGGGGCTAGATGGGAAAAACTAGATGGGGGCAATATGAAAAAAACTATGTGGGAGCTAGATGGGAAAAATACTTAATATTTTATATTTATAATTTTCCATTATTGTGAAACTCTGACAAATAACAACGTATGAAGAATATTTGCTTTGCGAGATAAATGTATGATTATATACAATTTGGACGAAAAATAACCAGAAATAAACGCGAATATACAATTGCACATTGTTGTGTTATGCGTTGTGTTATATCTCACAGATGCTAGATTGACTTGTAACTTTATTAGTTCAAAATATAACATTTTAAATAAAAGCACAGCCAAGCGTGTTTTATCAACTCACCCCGCTTTACGTCTCGCCACGTGTTCGTGATTTCGCCGAATCTGCCCAGCCCGTTTGGTGTCCGTCCATATATTCCTTTCACATCGTTCAGATGCTCGGTTTTTCTCGATCCTGCAATACAATAACAATTTTATTATTAATGTATGTCCTAATATTATATTTCCTGCAATATTGTCCGTGAAATATTTGAAATAAAAGCTTATTACAGATTCAAAAGAAGAATATTTCCCCTCAAATGCGTAAAACATGAATTATACAATTGAACATTGCATAAATGGTAAAACAAAAACTATTCGAACAGTTAAACGCGGCGCTATGAAAAGTTTTTTTTTTTACATACGAATTGACGCCAATGATCAAACGAAAAGTCACTGACCAACGAATTGTCGTAACGCCAGGGGCATTTCATGCGTGAAACTTCGCGGATGAATGCGTCACGAAATAATACATTTGCGGCGGGGTGCATGACGGCCATTCTTGGTGAGAGTGACTTTTTCCACATGTCGAAACTCCATTTTGTTCCGCGAGATCTACGGAGATTACATTCATGTCCGCATGGCAACTAAACGCGACGCAATTTGACGTGTTGCACATGCAACAAATGCATAATGCGACCGACCTGCATATGCATGAAGTCACGAAACGCATATGTACATGTATTGCGATGTGCGCGCTGTAGAATACAAGAGGATAAACACGAGCGACGGGTAAACAACCGCGCGCCACAAAACGCCAGAATCGCTTTGGAACATTAGAACATTGTAACTTAAGTTTTATTGCAACCACTGCGGCAACGGGAATAGTAAAATAAAGTCCGCCAATGCCGCAATGGTATTTATTTCCGTCTCATACATTCTCTTCATTATACTTCACAATAAATATACATTTAACGCGAAGAAATATTAAGTGTACACAGCGTATAATTTATTTGATGCAAAAAAGTTATAATTTATCGCGCAGTACTGTTGAATTTAACAAATACATAATAAAAAATAACGGACTCTCGATATTCATAAAACAAAAAATTAATAAAGGGCACTGAGAATATAACATGGTAATTACATTCATATTTTCCTTCATCCAATCATATATTTATTCTTCAATTATATTCCATTTGTTAAATTTAATTTAATTTTGTCTACTACTCAGATTAACTTTTAGTCAGATTTAGTCAGGTTTCTTTACGCCGCTGATAATCATGACTTCAAATAATATCCTCATAAATCGATTTAATTGCTCTTACACTCTGCATAATTATTTCATCATTCTGTGATGCGCAGCAAATGAGCGTGACTTTTACATTGAACATTCTTGTGGCGCTAATAAAATGTGGCCGACAACCGAAAGTACCTTTTACGATTGTCAGACGCAAGTTAACGCACGCGGGAATAACGCGTCGGTGGGCGAAATTGCTCGTAAATTCTACAGTCCGGGAATCTTTATCTCTTAATGTGATTTCCCCGTGCCGTTCCTTACCTACTAACTTACGTCACGAGATAAGGGATGCTGCCTACTCG